ATCACTGAAGCAATGAGCATGAAACTGAGCAAACTCAGGGAGGCAGTGAAGGACAGGAAGGCCTGGCACAATATGGTTCATGGGGTCACGAAGAGTCGGACACGACTTAACGACTAAACAACAACAACGTAGTGGTTGCCAAGTTAGGTCTTTCAGAAGGTCAGTTATAATTTCTTGATCAGGAAGATAACTAAATTTTCTGATAGTAGGATTTATGAGTGCCAGACACCATGAGTGCTACAGCGGGCAGTGTAGCAATACTGTTACTTTACTGACTCTACCTCTATATCTGAGCAGAAACATATATGATGGTTGTACAGGAAACTAGTATATTTGCCTATACTCTCCCTAGTAGGTACTGTGCCAATTCACGCCAAAGTAAAAAGTCTCCTGTTTGAGATGTTCAGGTTGTTAAGAGGTAGCTAGGAATCATCCATGGAGAACCTGCAGTTACACCATAATAGAAAAGGATAATTTTGGCCCTGTCATATTATAAATCTAAATCCCAAATCTCTGTTTAAGTTTGATTAAGGCTTTGTCTGAGCCAAGAGACAATATTGCCTGGAGTAAGAGATCACAATATGCTAAATCAGAATCAATTTGCCTCCTTGGGGATGAGGAAAACCTATCCAATATGCTGACATGAACCACCAGGGATCTACATGGAAATTCAGTCTAAGAAGTTTTAAATCTAACTAAGAACCACTTTAAGTGTTAGCCTGAATTGAATAAAAGGGAAATGCTTGCTAAACAAAACACTGTTGTTATATGTTGGTCATGAATAAATCACGTTTAATTTAATAGAGAGTTAAAATTCAGTGCATTGAATGATAAATTGTTGATTTTCTATCCATCAGAGCTGTTGAGTTTAGATACATAGACATTTACTTGTTGCTGCCCATCCCAATACAAATAGTTGCTTATATAAGATTTTTAATTTTTTCAGTTTGGAGAAGAGGTTAATAATGACACAATTTGCTGTTTAAGAAGAGATCCTGAACACAGTAGTTCAGGGCAAATTGACTAAAATTTGCACTCAATTAAAATTAGCCTAACAAGCACTACCTTCATATCCAATAGAAAAATTAGTGTAGATTAATGCTAATTCAAGTACATTAATAAGCTCCCAAACAAGAGTGCATGGGGGAAACAAAGTAGGAAACATCGGAGTCATTCACTTTCGTGGAAGACAAAATGGTTTAGTTAGCTTGCCGAGCACTTAGCACAGGAGCTGGGAACCTGTGACCCTTCAAATGTTGGTAAATGATAATTCCTAGCATCCCTTTCAGGGCTGCTAGGAGGACCGCAAGTTCCCCATGCCTCAGTTTGTGAACTGATATGCTATCTGGAACTATTCTAACCTAAAAATAAAAAGATGCAGAGAAGACAGATGGTATTCTTCAAAAATGGAGAAAAAGGTGATACTAGTGAAATAGCAAAGGCTGGATAATTATGTGATTCAAGGAAGAATAGTTTGTTAGTAAAATTAATAGTTACAATTGCAAGGAATTCTGAAAGAAATTATTTATATGAACCCAGAATTCAGATAGGATTCAGGCATGGGCACAGGAAGGAATTGCATGGATCACTCTTATCGATGACTGGTAGCAGGACTTGGAAGGAGGAAGTGGAACTATTCCTTGTCCTGCAAGCTCACAGGATGGGAGCCTTCCTGGACCCTTGGCTTGTGTTGGAAGAGCAGTTTGAGACTGTGGCTAGGAGGGCCTTTGCCCGGCTTCACCTGGTGCATCAGTTGCATCCTTACCTAGAACAGAACACACTGGGGACTGTCATTCATGCGCTTGTAACCTCTCATTTGCCTTGTAATTCACTTAACGTGGAGCTGCCCTTGAAGGCTACCTGGAAACTTTAATTGGTATTAAATGCCTTTGTGCTTACTGGACAATCACAATCCTGCCATTTGACACCACTGCTACAGGACCTGCATTGGCTGCCATATATTTCTGAGGGCAATTCAAGATACTGGTTACTGCCTCTCAAGCTTGATATGGCTGAGGGCCTGGATTTCTGTAAAACCCCCTTTCTCAGATGAAGTCTGCCTACCTGATCTGGAAGAATGCCTAATGAGGGTTCCCACCTGGCAAAAGGCACAACAGGAGAGGCACAAAGCGATAAATTCTCTAGGACAATTCTCATCCTCTAGAATAGCTTTTTCCCAAGGTAAGGTTGCAGATTAAAAATAAGTAAGATCCTAAATAGCAGCATCTCCAGTTAATGGATTTTTGCTTGAACTGCTCACACAGAGAACATGCTACTGCCCCACTCCAGAATGTGTGTGTGAAGAAACAGTATGAAGCTGTGTTGGCTAAAATTAATCAAATACGGATATGATGAGCAATCTGGAAGATTAAAACTTGGAACCTTATGTAAAAGTAGGACATATGTAGCATGTAGCAAAGGAAGTATACACTTATTTATTTAATTCCATTTATATTCCACCTTGCTTCAAGATGGTATTCCTGGTACTGAATTGATTGGAGCCAGTGGAACTAAATAGCTGTGATTTAAAAAGGGTGAAATCTTCCCAGCAGGTCAGGAAGCTGATCCTTCTTTGGTTCATCTCTCTTCTTTACAGTTGCAATTATTAAATGAAAGCCGGTTTGATAGCCAGTTTGGTGTAGTGGTTAAGGCACCAGGCTAGAAAGCAGGAGACTGTGGGTTCTAGTCCCACCTTAGGCATGAAAGCTGGCTGGGTGATTTTGGGCCAGTCACTCTCTCTCAGCCCAGCTCACCTCATAGGGTTGTTGTGGGGAAAATAGGAGGCGGGAGGAGTATTAGGTATGTTTGCTGCCTTGAGTTATTTATAAAAATAATAAAGGTGGGATTAAAAAAAAAAGTCAAATGCTTTAATTTAACATTAACTCTACGGTAGCAAAAAATCAGGAGTCGGATAGCACCTTTTCTGACTAATACATTTTATTAAAAGGCATAAGCTGTTGAGAGCTGCTTTCACGAGGGTCAGGCTGGTATCCGCTATTCACTGCTGCCTTGGGTAATTGCTATATTAAAAATACATGTATGATTAATAGGTTGGGGGGGGGTTCTGCAAAATATATCATAGTTATATCTGCAACAATGCATTTGGATTCCTCCACCTTCTGTTTTGTTTTTTTTTTGTATCCAGAGTGCCTATCGTGTTTTCACCAACAGCACCTGCTTGAAACATATGATTCTGAAGATCCGCAGAGATGCTCGGAATTTTGAGCGGTATCAGCATAATAGGGACTTAGTAAATTTCATCAACATGTTTGCTGACACACGGCTGGAACTTCCACGAGGCTGGGAGATCAAAACTGATCAACAAGGCAAGGTACAAGAAAGAAATGAAATTAGTAGTTAATTCTGGGTTGTTGTTGTTTTTTTATGGGTATAGGTTGGGCAAGAATGCTGGCATGCGTGAAAGGTGGGGAGTATCAATGTATTTATTACCTGTAGGGTTTTGGCTTTTCCTCAGATGGCTTTTCTTCATGCAACATTTTATTCAGGAATATACACCTTAAAATGATATCTCTATTTCTTGTCTTGGTCTGTATAATGTAGGTAGTCCTTCAGTCTACCTACAGTACATTATTCAGACTGTATTTAAACATTTAATTTTTTAAACTAAAGAATCAGACTAGAAATCATGTTAAATCCTGCTTCCCATATTACCAACTCTGGTAGCTTTCTCAGTATTATTTTTGATTCTTAGTATTCTTCTATTACAGTCTTTCTTTGTTGACCACAACAGTCGTGCTACCACTTTCATTGATCCCAGAATTCCACTTCAGAATGGCCGCCTACCCAATCACTTGACCCACAGACAGCATCTTCAGAGACTCCGTAGTTACAGTGCGGGAGAGGTATGTTTTCCTGCTGTACCTAATTCATTAGAGTGCTGGATAAATGTGTGCGTTTGGGATTTCTTCAGATTCATTTTTACAAAGTCTTTACAAAACTTCAATTCTACATTGAATCCTGTTTTATCTCTTCATTTCATCATGCTGACAGATATTAGTAGCAGACTTCACATTCCCTGCCATGGTATGTTTACCGCAGACTATGCAACATGTACTTTACATTATGAGAAGAATGGAGAAAGGAGGATGTTGTGGGAAAGAGAGTTTATCCAAGTATGAGCTTCTTGTGTAGTAAAAGCAGATGCTAGTTTTTAGCATGGGCTTTAAATAACATTGTTATACATATTTGTGACTTTTTAATAAAGGAATTGCAATTGATTATTTATCTGCTTATCTCTGGGAAATTGATCTGCAGGTTGTTAATAGTTTTGTAATGGGTTTATATATAACAGGCCGTCTGCTTAGTTGTCGACCATTTTATACAGTTGTTAGCTTTACACCTATGAAAAAATGAAACAGGGAAACTGGAAATACTATTTATTATAACATTGGCATACTGCTGATTCTATATGGATTCTTGGTGGATTACACCAAATAAAAATGAATATAAAAATAATTTTTAAAAGACATAAAATTCTACAAACATACGTTAAAGTTCAAATCCAGCTCAGTCACATCAAATGGGAACTGCTGTCTGGAACAGTTCCATTTTGAGCACCTTTCTAATGTCCATCATGTATGGTGGCATCTGAATTTCTGGGAGCAAGATGTTTTATTGGGATATAGTGTACACTGAAAACATTATTTTTTCACTCCCCAACTTCATTCTCACATGATGGAGGTTCTCTCAGAATCCCTAGTTGTGAAGTGCATACTATATCGGTCAATTTTAATTAAAGTAGGCAGTCCTAAAGGGCTCAAGTCATAAAGAGCTTTATATGTGACTAGTGGTTTGATTAGAAGCCTAGTGGCAACCAATAATGTGCCACATAAGCAATGTTATATGAATCCAGTGGGTCTCATCCAGTAGAAGACAGACTGCTGCAATCCTGTACCCAACTGCAGCCTTCAAAGAGTTTCCAAAAGCAAACTCATATAGAGCTATAAATCAGTTTCTCCCTCCCACACAACCCCTTTGGGGAACCAGGAAAGGGTTGAAGGGAAAATCCTTGCCCCACCCTGGGTCTGGCTAAATACAGCAAGAGACACCAACAAAAATTTTTGGAGTCAGGAGCTCAGCCAAGCTGAGGTGGGTGCTAGAAGGCAACCAGTCAACTCCAGTCAACTTTTTTAAGCAAAAAAAATTAACTCTATTAAAGGTGCCAGAAGAATATAAAGTTCCACACATGACACACAGTTTAAAAAGATAAAATACAAAAAAACATAATGCAGTTCTAACTATAGCTAAATAACTCAGTTTTCAACCTTGCCTGAGGTAACCCCCTCATCCAGGACTCCAGCCAATGCTCTCAAAAGACCTCAAACCTGACAGAACCCCCCCCCCCCGCTTTCCTTTATTGGCTTTTAGGAGAAAGGTGACTACCACTGGGTACATAAGGCTGGCTGTGATTTAAAGGTCCAGCTGCTCCCCTACTACAATTCCACAAGGGAGTAACAGCTGGAATGACATTTCTGACCCCTATTGAAAGTGCCCACTACTAGTGAAACTACTGAAGCATAGTACCCTTCACAATTGATCTAGAAGAATCAACAGTGGTCCTCAATCAAAGTGACCAATGCTATTTCCATTCTATGGCCAGGCCTGAACTTTGACTGGAAGGGAACCAGAAAAACATTGTGTGGTGAAACTAAAATTTCCAGCCTAAAGAATATGGCAAAAAAAGGCATGATAATAATATTCTCTTCCTCCTCTAAGCTGCTGAGCATGGCAGACAAAGTTTTTGGATAACACAGCCAGTAGGAGTAGGAGCAGAGAAAAGTAGGAAACTATCTTAAAGTGAGTTAGACCATACATTTGCCTAGCTTATTACTGTCTGTAGTAACCAGCAGTTTCTCTCTGGGGTTTAAGAAGCTTTCCAATCATAGCTGGATACATCAGGGATTAAACCTGGGCTCTCTTGCATGTAAACCCTATGCTTAGCCTTTAAGCTTCTTCCCCAATTTACTCATGGCAGGATAAGTCTGATATGAAGTCTGATCTTTTGAAGTAAATTTTTGCATAATTCATCTCTGATGCATTTTTCAACAATCCCCCCTCCCCCCCCGATAAAAGGTGACCTCTCCAGAACTGCTTTTTTTTTTTTCTTTTTCAAATTCACTGATTCTAATGCTTTCTATTGAATTTGGAAAAAGAAAAAAAAGGTGGCTAGGGCTTTACCTTCAATAGGTTTTGTTGTTCAGAATGAACGTTACTGAGAAATCTGACTGCAAAGTTTTCACAGTTGCTTTGTTGTGATCCTTTTTAGAACTCTAGCCAAACACAGCAGGAATACCTCCTTTGAGATCCATATAATTGCAATTGTAACATAATGAAGAGGAAATGAAAAGCAGGCTATTTCATTTTGTTAGTATAATGTTCACATCAGGTTTATGTTTCAATTACTAGGCAATATTTAATTAATGCCTTTCATTAGTGTTAAGCCAATTCTTGTTTAACACATGTATTGGTACATTGGCTGATTGCTCATTACCTGTGTGTCACTTCTGGGTTTTTCTTTTCAGAGGTGACTTATAGGTCAGATTTAACTGTTTCTGCATTTCTTTTTAAAAATAAAGCCAATTAAAATAGTTGGAACTTGGCTGTGATATTTAAATGGCATTGGCACTTCAGTAATCATGGATTTACTGATTTTTAAATAGGCCTTTTTTTCCAATAATAGTCCAATGTGGTGGATAATAAATAAGTAAATAAGTGATCAGCTTATTGTACAGGGTAGTGAATCTAATTATATGTTAAAGATTGTAGAACATTCAAGCCACTTTCCACCCTACCACCCCCAACCCAGTCATTCCTTTCCAAACAGACCATAATTAAGATTATTGCTTTTTAAGAAGACTTCTGTGTATGCAGTTGTGCCCACTGGACAGAGAAGAGAAATGGTAAGTTTCATGCCTACCGCTTAATCCAACTAGAAACACGCTTTTCTTCACATTTCCTCAATCAGTAAAAACAGGAAAAATAATAGGATCATAGCCTAAAGTGGGATAATGATTTTTAATATTCTCATGCAGTACTAGTTAGGTTTTTCAACACTTTTCTAATTTACATATTCTGTCTTGGCAAGTAGCTATGGCTTTTCATAAAAACACATTTAAAAAAAAAATTCAACTTTTTTTTTCAATACTCACAATATAGTTATAGGTCTTCTTTATTTTAGGCATCAGAAGTCTCTCGAAACAGAGGGGTTTCTTTGTTGACCAGACCAGCCAACAGCCTAGTAGCAGCAATTCGAAATCAGCACCATCATGAGTCATTGCCTCTTGGTATGTATCACTGTTTTTCAAGGGAGTTTGGATAAAATTTACTAAATTTTCTAAGCACAAAATAAAAAGCTCACTGTAATGTCCAGTGTTATTTTTTAATTTAAGAAATGTGGCTTCATTTAATGAAAGAATGAGCGGCTGCAAGAAGTTTATCAGTCCCATCTAGGAACAGAGCCACAGCGAAGAGAGAGTTCATTAGTAAGCAATAAAACTGCTGCTTCACTGGAAATTATATCTTCCCTTCCTTTTGGCTGCAACTCTTTAGAAATAACATAATTACCCAGGTTTAGAAGTGCTGCTGAATATCTAATTCAGCTATTGGTAAATCACTCTAAATATATTGCGTTCATGTATTAATGCCATTATTTATAAGCAGCCTTTCTGGTTCATACTTTACAACGTAGCTCATAACATATGAAAACAAAAGACTATTAAATCCATAAAAACAAATCCAGCACATCTACAAATATAGCGTATATAAAACAGCATATGACAAGACAAGAAAAAAAATGTTAAATAAATTGCTACTTCAGGTGGGTTGGGCTGGGCTTCCCCTGTGGAATTTAAAGGGTTGATTGTTGTTGTTGTTTCCAAACAGCAAATCAGGGATGCTAAAGTGCTAAAGAATAAGGCCAATAAGCAAGTCCAGTTCTTCTCTGGGCCCTGAATACGTCTTTCTTAGTTGAACTCACATATTTCTACTTCTTTTCTTCTACCGTCTCTTTTCTCTAGTTATGATAAAAGTTTACCTTAGCAGGCAGAGAGGGCTTGCCTGAAGGTGGCATTTGCTGCAGAGCAGGATTCTAATAACCTTAAGGCTGGGTTCCCACAACACAGTTCACTAGATCACAATCACTAAAAGAGGAGAGGGACAGGACAGAGGCAGCCTCGGTGTTTTTTGATTGTTTTTTGGATCAACCTCCTTTTGATCTATATGGCTGCTGGACACAGAGATGAGAGCCTACAGTAGCATTGTAAAAAGGGGGCTTCTCTAGATAGCTTAGGTAACTCCACCACCACAAGTATATGGGGGTGGGGAGACAGACAGAAAGGTGGCAGAAGAGGATGTTCCTTCCTACTACGTGTTGGCTCTGATCCTGATCAGATCATAACAGATTTTTATTTTTTCTCAGTTTTTTTAAATGGGCAGTCAGCTTGCCACTGTAAAGGAGGCTTGGACAGCAGCAAAGATGGTTGCTCCCATCGTTAACAAGGGAAGCTTTCCATTCACTGTTTGTCTGCTGTTGCAAACTGGGTTAATTGTACAAAAGTGGACTAAGACTATATTTTTGTCACAGCAGACATAAATGGAGCTAGAGATCGCCAGATATTTTGTGAGAAAATAAGGTATGCTGCATCATTTGCAGCCATACCGAAAGGCAGCATTTGGGGATATTCTACATGTAACATCCCTAGAATGAATTAGGCAATGGCTACCTTTGCATAATATGAGCCAAGATACTTCAGGAAAGGTGTGGGACAGCTGAAGAAACTAGAACACTTCCAAATGTGGCTCTTACCACTTGTAATTGACTTCTCAAAACCTGGAAAACAGAATGATGCAAAATACTATAGGCCTGGAACATCAGCATATTCCTCCTGTATTAGAGAAACAAGTAGCAGCCTCCCCCCTTTGGCAAGGGGATCAAAGAATCCCTGCCTGAAGAAACTTACTGCATCCAGTTTCCCTCGCAGACCCTAGAGTCTGGATCCTTACAGGGTCTTATTAACCAGATTTATTGAAAGGAAAAAAAGGGGTTAGGTTTCAAAATCTTAGAAATTGGATGTGTGCACTTCAGCACCCCATTAATCAGAAAACTTGTTCAGGCAGAGATTCTTTGATCCTTTTGCTGATCCCAGTGAAGCAGGGGGGAATTTGCTATTTGAAACAGTTGTGGGGAGGGGCTGTCTGGAAGCAGTGGGGATGTTGCTGTTCACATCTCTTATAGTGGAGGAATGTGCAGAAATTCTGGCCCTGTAATATTTTACAAACCACAGTTCTCTTTCTCTGACTCTGAGAAGTCTATTACATCTCCAGGGACAGGGGAAAGAAAGGATGTTGTAGGAGGGAGGGACCTTGATGGAATATCCATAGGCTGGATGAACGTCAGAGGTTCTATGTCCTGCTGTTCAACTAGTACAAGAAGGCAAGCAGGATGAAATGAGTAGCATGAACTATCCTGGTTTACCATGAGTGACTATGCTGTGACAATATATTTCCTATCATCATGCTATGAATTCTGGTCAGCAGCGTATCTGTTACATGGCTGTGCAAAGTATTTCAAAGAGATGCTGTGCAGTTCATGACAGCATAAACACAGTGCTCCCCCCCCCCCCCCCCC